ATTCTATATCGAAGTGCTTACCTTTTTGTGCCTGTTTGGTTGCCTTTCTAGATGCCGAAGTGGTGTAAAAAATATTATGTCGGGTGGCACAGTAGATAATTTACATGCATAAAAAGCATTCTCTTTTGAGTAAGTGTAAAGACCTCTTACTCTAAAGAGGATTAGCTGTTCTTATATCCTGTTTTTCCATTCAATGGGTTATTTGCTTCGTTTTGGATGCTATCTTGAATACCATTCCACCATGATGTGATTGCCAGAATAAGGCACATAGTGCCGAATTAGTTCAGATTATACTGTTTTCATACCTTTTTTTTCTTGTATTCTTCTAAGTCTTTCCATTTTTCTGCCCTCTTTCTTACCTATCGGTGGTAGTACCCAAAGGCATAATTTCTTATTTCTTTTACTATATATAATTCTACCTTTGGGTACTACCACATCGATCACTTTTGGGTACCACTTTTGGGTACTACTATATCGATCACTTTTGCTACAATAGTTTGCTGGCGAACATGATTTTTTATTTTAAATATTTGGAATTTTTATGTAGATTTATATTTGTTTCTTCCATATATATTATCATGCTTGTGTAAAAAAAATCTGGGCCCGACCTCAGTGAAATAAATGAAGCAATTAGGCTCTTTTCTGGTTTAGCAGACCTTGATTATAAGCCTGGTTATAATAATCATGTATACTTTCAATATCTGTCTAATAGTAAAGATGATATCGCTCTTCTAGATGCCATTATTTTGAAGAAATTTTTGATAAATATATTATTCGGGTTGCAGGTAAGGAATTCACAGTAGTAAATCACCCATCCGAAGTTTATAGGTTACCTGATGCTCATGAATGTATTAATGGGAATTTGCCTCTTCGCCTTATTCTGGACATTGACGTGAGACAGTATCCTGATCCCATGAATCCTGAACTCCCTTCTTTAGATGGAAATAAAATTTCTCGCGAAGATTTATTATCCAGAATCTTAATTGCCTGTGCTGTAACTTTGGTAGATAACCAAATCCATATTGGTTGGTTATTAGCGTGTACAGTATCCCAAGCAGAAAAAGTCTTAATAAATCTATCTGAAAATTTACCAGAAAAGATATTGGCTCACATAGAAAAGAGATTCGAAGAAGTTCCACTTGTGCCAGTACTTATATGGTAGTCGATTAGGATTTGAGATAATAAATGTCTGGTCTATATTTTTTATTTATATTTTTTCTTTTGGATTCGTACTTCATGAATCCCAGATTTTTTTCCTAATGATTCATATAACTGCAAAAAGAAATAAAGTAAGTTGGCATATGACATTAAAGAACTTTCAATGGCAGGGATAGCCGGTACGATTTTAGAGGAACCCACTAGAGGCATTACTTGAGATGATGGCACTACTTCTTCGCCACCTAATTGCTTCGCAACCCTTCTCTCGAAATAAAGTTTTCAGAATTTGCTGGTAGACTATAAACAGATTGATTAGATAGGGTAACTTCTTGATTTTTCAAAACTATCTCATCCCGGGGTAATAGCTCTTGCAAAGTCTCTAATATGTTCTCTGGCAAAACTTTTATCAAATTCTATAACTTTATCTTCAAGACCAAGCTCGTGGATGAGGGGTTTTAGATTATTACTAACTCAACCTGGAATCTTTTGTGATGAATCGACCTCTTTGGGATCCGATGAGTTTATTTTGGCCGGCTCTTCTATCATTCTTCCCATTATATCAGAATCATGAAATGTCAGATCTGGTTTCAAGTCCTCCAACTTACCTTCCAATTCACGTACTTTAGTTTCAAGAGAAAGAATTTTGATCTTGTTAGCAGACGAAGCTTTCTGGGCCAGGGTCGTCTCTCTCTTCAGAGTTTTAATAGAAGATTTAAGCGATTTGATTTCGGCAGTATATTTGGCTTCAAGCTCACATTGACTCTCAGAATGAGACTTCTGTTCAGAAATAAATTGGGATCTAACTTTAGTGCTGGATGCATTTAATTGGCTAATCTTATTTCCAATATCACTATAGCTTTGCTGATACTCCTTTTCCTGCTCATTGTATTTATCTACTAGCTTTTCACTAAGATCATTAATCTCAGAGTTAAATTCGGTAACAGATCTTATTTTTTTTTTGAGCTTTTGCTCATATGCACTACCTAGCCGATGTCCTCTTTTATTGAAATCTTTCAGTGTGTACACATTGGACATAATCTTAGCATAGTTACATAGAAGGAAAAAAAAATGCGTGAATAAAAATCTATCCGAACATTAATCAATAATTTGGTCCGCCTTCTCCCATATGGGCTAGGTGCTGAGAAAAGGGACCAAATTAACAAAACAAAAGATCTTTGAAAAATCAATTTTTATGTTGTAGATCTTATAATAAATCATAAGAAAATGCAAACTTTAAAAAGCAATATAGCAAAATT